GAGACCTTGGAACCAAAACTGGAGCATTGTTTAAAACCTGTAGTTTATTTAATGGTTGGGGCAGAGGGGAGAAAATTGTCTGAACATTGCTCAGAGAGTGAGAATACTAACTTCATGTTTTAATTTCTCTTGGAAGAAAATAACACTGTGTTCTAAGTAGGTCCAGTATTTGCCCTTCTGTGCTGTACTAATTCTCTTCTTGTACTTGTAGTTCTGATTATGTTCCCTCAGCTGGTACTTCAGGAAACGTGTTTGTCTTTGAGCATGTCTGGTGACTCAGAGACACGTCTCCATAGCATCTGGTGAGCATAATTGTCATTATTAATCTGCCCCATGCCAATCTGTCCTCGGAGCAGCAGTGGGAGGAAGGGAAGGTGCTGCATGACTGGGAGTGTTCTGCAGGGATGGGGCTGGGAGGAAGGTTAGTGAGAGCCTGGCTTGGCTGAGGTTCTGTGCCTCCTGTCAGTGCCTCCAGAACCATCAGAGATTAGAGCCAGGCCTGTGCCCAGCTGGGGCTGCCACGGGAGGGCTCCTGCTGAAGCAGCTGGAAGGGGTGCCCTGCTCCAGTTATGTAATGCTGCTATTTCCAAGTGCTGGGTGAGTGTGTTGTAAGGTAATACCTGACTGTAGAGTTCAGAGATTCTTTGGAACCAGATTCAGCTTGGCATTATCTCCAAAGCTTTGTCCATTTTCCATTTCAAACGCAGCTGAATGAAGTCTCCCACAGTAGAGTCCCTTCTTCCCTCTCTGCCTTGTGTCAGGGCTCTGCTGCCCTGTGGCCTAACCACAAGGTGAGCCATACATTAGTTTTAAAATTATTTTTTCCCTGGGCCCAGATGCTCTCTGTCCTTATGGGAAGGCTCTAAATGCTCTGTCTTCTGGACCTCTCTACTACTGGACCTCTCTCTTCCCAATTCAAATAATCACAGGCTTTTCCTTCATTCCTGTTATTAATCAAACTTGACTGCCTGCTTAATGCCTTTTTTTTTTTTTTTTTTTTTTTTTTTTTTTTTTTTTTTTTTTTTTTTTTTTTTTTTTTTTTTTTTTTTTTTTTTTTTTTTTGGCATGGTGATTTTGATTGTTGCTTCCATAACAGGATTTTGTTGCCTTTGGCTTCACAATAAATTGGGGAAATTAATAGTGTATGATTGAGAGCACATACTTTAAAATAAGTTAAACGAGAAATAGATATTTTTTATTACTATTAAAAATACCTTTTTTGTCAGTCCTTTTGTTTGGCGCAAAGGGCACATTCTGCTTTAACTGTTTTATCATATGTGTGCTATTGTAATTTACATAAATGAATTTTAAATACAGTTATAAGCAGTGGGAAGATGTTATTGTCTCTGCACAATGAATGTGGAGATTTATGCTGTGCATACATCTTGTGTTAGATTAACATTTGTTCCCTCGTCTCTGTTGGATAGTGTCATGATGGAGCCTTGAAATCTTTACACAGGTACTTCTCATGCTTATTTAAAACAGCATTTGAATTCTGCTTTTTCCAGTCCATTCATTTCATGTAAATATGCCTTTGGATATTTGACTCAAATCTGATGACATTGACAGAAATAATAAAACTTCTGTTAGGAGTGAGATGGGAACTGCTGTTATGTCCTCCCACCCCCTAAATATCAAACAATTCCCATTTTTCCAGGTTTGTGCGTGCGGAATTCAAGCGTTTTCAATGACGTTGGTGCAGCCTTGTGCTTCAACTTGTCTGTGAGGAAGGTCCCAACCCTTTTCTGCAGTGTGTGTCTTTTGTCCAAGGCTGGTGACAGGAGCTGGTTGAGCTCCTGCCAGGATTATTACAGCCCTCGGCTGCAGCGCCTGTGACCTGGAGGGTGCTGGGTGTGCACATCCCTCTTTGGGTGTCCCAGGGGGAGGTGATGGCAGGGCTGGGAACTGAATTACAGCAATTTGGAGTGAGGACCTGCTCTCTTCCCACCCTTGCCAGTTCTTGCTTTTCCTCCCAGGGGAAAACAACTTGAAAAAAGACACTTTGCAAATTCTGCAAATCCTGTTTCAAGGAGATGTGCTGGTGAAGTTAGGGTGGGGAAGCACACCATGGAAGAGGGGTTTTTTCCCTCCTGGAGCTCTGGGCTGGGGCAGGAGGGCTGCATGTGCCAGGATGAGTAAGAGAGCCTTTGGAACATGTCTGGAGAGTGAAGCTATCGAGCTGGAGCAGAGCTGCTTGCTGACTTGCCAAATACAAGCCTCTGGTAAATGCTCTTGTGGGGGCACTTAGTCTGTGTGTTGTGGGGGAGGAGAATAACAATTTGACTCGGGGCTGGTGATTATTCTGTGGCTGTGGTTGAATTTCTCTCAGCTGTAGTGATGTTTTGAGTTCTGGGGACAATTACCAGCTCTTCTAGATGTCTCTTTATTTCCACACCTTAAAAACAGCCATTTGGGGCAGATCCACCTGAATGACGTGCCTTTCTTCGAGGCTGCCTATCGAATCCTGACTGTCAAGAGTCAGATTTTACTGCTTCCCTGTCAAGTGAGGGCCTGTTGCTGGGAGCTGGGCTGGAGTGTATGCAGACACGCAGAGGGGTGTGAGGGATCCCGAGTCCCAGTCCAGCGCTCCCGTCCTGGAGCCCATGATGCGGGTGTGCGGAGCTGCCGCAGCCAATGGCAGTGGTGGCGTTCAGTCACAGCTTGGCTTTCCTGCCAGCTGGAGTCCGTTCCCATTGTGATTGAGATCATTACACTTACCATAAATGTTTCTTCTTAAAATAAAAATTACAGCAAGGAGAGCAGAGCAGCGTGGGGCTGTGCCGGAGGGCTCGGTGGCGCTGGCTCCGTGCCGGTCACCTCCTGGGAGCCCGGAGCCTGCAGGGGCTTGGACGGCGTCCCTGGCACTGGCCACGCTCCTGGGCTGTTGGTGCTGGGCTGGGGACAGGCTGGAGACAGGCTGGGTTGTCAGGGCTGGGCAGCCAGGGCCATGTCTGCCCCTCCTGGTGGCTCTTGCCCATGAATGGCACAGTCTCTCTCTCTTGGTGCTGCCTCTCATATCCAAAGAATGCTCCAGTCTTAATTTTGTGCTTTTGGGCCGTTGTGAGCTTCCGTGGGAAAGGCATGAATAATGCTTATTGTTAGGTAAATACAGGTGCTGTGTGGTTTTCCATAGCAACATGCTCACCTGGAGGTGGTTTTAGGCCTCTGAGGACTCCCTGGAGGATTTGGTAAATTAATCCATCGGGAGATGTCCTGCTGGGCAGATGTGGTCAGGTTCTTGTGGTGTCCCTGTAGCCTGGCTGATGTCACCTCAGCCAGGGGAAATAGATAATTGGTGGTGTATGAGCTGCTGTATTTTTCCTTCAGGTGGCTGTTACTCTCTGTGGTGCAGGGTGTCTGTTCCACCTTTTTCTCAGATGAAGCCCTTTGCTCACTGAGCCCCATGGAGGAAGGCAGCTCTGGCAGGAAGTCTCTAGGCCAGAGTTGCAGCCATTTACATATGCCAGTGATGATTAAACTGCTGAAGAGTAAGTGCCAGAGACCAGAGGAATGTTGGTGCACTGATGGTCCTGCCTCGACCTCCTGGAGTCATTGCAAAAGCACAAGGAAATAAACATTTGGAGTCAGAAGCTTTATCTTAGGAGATAAGGATTGTTGAGCCTTGCCACAGAGGCACAGCACAGACTGGGAAGTCAGAGTTGGGATTATTCATGGAGCAGTCCCAACCCCTGCCCCAGGCAGGACACCTTGCACACCTGGTTATTGCTGAGGTGAATGCTGTGAGTCCAGGATAATCTGAGAGGTCGAGCTGCATGTGTAGTGTCTTAAATTTCCAAAGCATTGTGCAGCCATGAGCCCTCCACAGGGAAATATCCCTGCCTGTTCCATGGGTGTAGGAAACCAAGGCACGGAGCTGGGCAGGTGGGTGACAGAGCCTGGCAATTGATGCTGGAGCTGTATTTAAAGGAGTGTCTGGTTTTGAAATCCAGGTTGAGTTAAATAGACTTCATCATGATGGTTTGAGCTAATCAAAGCTGTGGTGGGCCTGCTGCAAACCATCCAGTGGTCTCTTGTTTCCTTTGCAGCTCTGTTACTGACTGTGACAGCAGCACAATACTGTGATGTTCAGGAATAGTCAAATTGAAACCCAAGAGCTGCTTTCTGCTCAGAGAGGGACCAGCTGGAAGTCACTGCTGCTGGAGCTTGAGACCAGTGCTGTGGCTGAATTCAAACAAACCACCTTCTCTCCCTCCCCCTCAACTATAAATTCATGTTCCATAACATTATTCACTAAAATTCCAGCATGGATAGTTGAAGCTGAAATGTCCTAATGCACAGCAGAATAGCTTGGGCATCCCCCAATTGACCTTACTTCCCTGTCTGATAGCTGAGGGAATGGCTGAGCCTTGAAGTCGATGCAGAAATTATATTTTGCAAGCTGGTTTATCTTTGCTGTCTTTGAAGGATCCAGCTGGTGTTTCTGGCCAGCCTCACCCATCTCTTGGGAGAAAACACGGGGTCATTGAGCCTCCATTTGCAAGGGCACCGAGCAGGACAGAAGACTGGCGTTATTTTAAGCTTTTACTGACCAGTGCAGGATTTTAGACAATAAAAAATACTGCTGTCCTGCTGCCTGCTACCTTCAGCTGCCCATAGTCAAGAGTTTATATCATATGTGTGCAAGTTACCATGCAGGAGGAAAAAAAATTCAGCATGGGAGTCAGTTTGTGCAGCTCTGTATTTTTGGTAGGTGTTTTTATATCCTTGGGAAAACTTGGCTGTGACAGCTGTGCGGGGTAATGCAGTGTAGTGACAGTTTGGGTTGTGCTGCAACGCTGCGAGCGAAGGCGCTGCGGCGTGTTCTCCCTCTCACTCAGAACACTGCTTGGGGTTTTTGGAGCTGTGTCAGGGCAGGCTGAGGCTGGAGATCAGGAATTCAGAGGGTGCAGGCACTGCCCAGGCTGCCCAGGGAATGGGCACATCCCCGAGGCTGCCAGAGCTCCAGGAGCATTTGGGCAGCACTGCCAGGGCTGCCCAGGGTGGGGCTGGTGGCTGCTTTGCAGAGAAGACTGGGTCATCAAAGGTGGGCCTGAACACTGGGTTATGAAAGGTGGGTCTGAACATTGGGTTATGAAAGGTGGGTCTGAACACTGGGTTATGAAAGGTGGGTCTGAACACTGGGTTATGAAAGGTGGGCCTGAACACTGGGTTATGAAAGGTGGGCCTGAACACTGGGTTATGAAAGGTGGG